TTTTCTCTCTTCTTTTTTTAACGAATCTTCGCGGCGTCAATCTGTTCTGACTCAAAGCCATGCAATTTTGAAAAAGATCCCTCAAATCTGGGGGATGTTTCAAAATTTTACTCAGCTTCAAAAGGGGTAGGGAAATAAAATAGACAAAAGTGTCCTCTGAAGATAAACATTTTTAAATGTTGAAAATCGTATTTGAAGTGTGTAAAAGTGTGATCCGAACTGAGCGGACGAGTAGTCTGCATACCCGCAGAAGGAGCATGCGACCAGCTCCCCATTAGGAACCACTGAGCATACGTACGAGACTTACGAGGCAGATGGATCTCGTTTGTAGACTGCGGATGTGGGCACGCCACGTTAGTGTTTAATCAAACTTCAGCCCGAGGAACCTGGCAGATTCAGAGGAAGGAATGATGATCTCCAAGACAGTCATGCAGGTGGCGTTTCCTGCAGAAGAGCATACCCGTAGTTTTCATTGGGAGAAGTGGAAGCTTGTGGAAGTGATCCGTTCGTGTAGTTTGTAAAGGACTAGTTGGAATTGCCCTTGGATGACACTGATGCTGCTGGAAGAAAAAAAAGATTGCAAAATCCACATACAGCAATGCCTTTCCAGATTCTCGCACGACCGACGCTATACTGTTTATTACATTGGCAAAGAGTGACACTGAGCACCGACCCTTGGATGCCTTTTTCAAGAGGGTGACTGCTAGACAGTTTGTGACCAACGCGAACTCGGAAATATTCGATAGAAAAATTGGAATATGGAGAACTTCTCCCTCAATCCCCACGAGTGCAATGTTCGCAGAATGCCGTACCTCCAAGTCGTGTCGTTGGCCCTTTCTGTAATACTAAGAAGTACGCCACAATGTGTTGCCTTAGGACGAACGATGTTGAAATTTTCAGTTGCCAATGGAACGAGATGGCCCACAGTTCACCGGTGTTTTCTGAAGCCGCACTGGATAGGTGAGAGCAGATTTCTGCAATCCTAAGTCCAGATTTACCAAGCGTTCCAGCTGTCATGCAAAGGCAGCTGGTAAGAGAGAGAGGACAGTACCTCGATGGCAACGATCGATCCTTTCCTTTTAGAGCTGGAACACCGATGGCTTCTTTCCATAGAGCAGGGATGCTCTTCTAAAATGTGATTATAAAGTCGGAGAAGAAATTGCATTGCCATTTCAGGAAGTTGCTGGGCATTTGGTTGTGTATTCCATCAGGACTTGCGGTAGCTCTTTTCGCTAACGCGAGAGCAGAGCGCATTTCAGGTATGGAGAAATCGTGTTGAAATCGTCGGATACCCTGCAAGAAAATTCCAATGGACTACTTTCCATTCTCTTTAACCAAAATTCTGGAGCGTAGTTCCTCGAGCTAATGTTTTTCCAGTGAGCGGCGAGTTCCTCTATAATCACATCTCGGGAAGTGATCTCTCCATTCTTAAGGAGACCTGGCACCGTAATTGGTGAAGTGTATTCTTTTATCTGGCAAATTATCCACACGTGGTGCGGGTGACATTTGGGAGAGGAGACGTAAGCTATCCACGATGCATTTTTGCTCTCTGAAATGGATCTCCTTGCCTTCACCCTGCATCTTTTATATCCTATTGTATTATTATGCTGTTTCACAAGCACTGACCGTTCTAAAGCAGTTCAGATTCCACTACGGGGCAAAAGGGTGACGCGGTTTACCGGTCGATTTCGGAATAGCATAAAAGCAGCAAAGAACACAGCGCAATTGAAATGTGCAGGCGTTTCGTCCACATCTTCGAAGGGACCATTTGACACATCAACATTAGCTTGGAATATTTACAAGTCAGCACGTTCCATTTAGGGGGCGAACAAACCCACGACGTAGTTGTCGATGTGGGCAGTAGTGGATCGCTTCCAAAGAGATCTGATTGTGATCCACTGCATAGTAGTTGTGATTGAAAGGCGGCAAAGGGCTATTTCAATAGTTGTGCTCGAATTCGTAGCTATGGGACATGCGATTGTTCACAAATATTGAGAATCACTAGGTTAGTGGTATCGTCTACCGATTTTAAAATGGCGCCATTTTGACAAGTACGGTTCTTAATATATATTCAAATTAATTTATTTTCAACCTTCGTACGAAAAACACGGAAAGAACCTCAAAGAGGGTTGTGGGAATTTACATCACCAACAATCAAGAAGGATGTGGGCAGTTGCTTTATTAGGACTAGGAAGTCATCGACCGACACCGTTTATCCTGGGAGATGTGAATGTTACATACAGTGAGCGAGGAGGTACACCAGTTTCAATAGGTACATATGCAGAAAGCGAGTCGTGAACCAAAGTAGCAACTCTGCCTTGAACACTGAAGCCGTCATCGACATCAACATAAAGATGGGGTATAAACATGAAAGTATAGGGGCCTGATGGAGCAAGGTGAGTCCCCTGTAGACAGAATATTGAAGGCGTATAACGAAGCAAGAGTTTTAATTCGTCCCGTCGGGAGTAAAACCCATTACGGGTCCAGGATAAGAGAGCCTTAGTTACGAGTTTTAGATGTCGTTAAAAACACTTTTTTTCTTTTTCCGCGCTGCTGCCCGCAGGGGCGGGCGAGTGCTCACCCCGGCTGAAGTTTCTTCCGAGGCGAACTCCTGAGCACTGCTCAGGCTCAGGCAGGCTGAATGATCGCTCAGAGCGAGCCTCAGGAGTCGAGGTATGTGGTCGGGAAACGGATGATTGGTCCATCTGAAGGGAGTCCGGGGCGGATAGCCGATTGACATCAACTTTCACTCGAGACTGGGAAGTGGATACTAGGTTCATCATCGTGAATAGCTTTCTTGGACAATTTTTTTCAATTTGGAGGGAATTTTAATAAATATATTTGCGTCTTATCTCCTTAATTTGATCGATTTGAAAGGCTTTAATAAAAAAACTCAGTGTTTTTATAACACTTTATTTCTTTAGTTTTGATCTTTGTTTTTTTT